CGGGGGCAGCTGAGACTCAGGCGCTGGGATTGAGACCCAGGGAGATGGTGGTGCACGGGGGGCTGGGGAAGTGAGAGGGGAGAAAGAAGCTTTACGTGGGGATGGAGGGCGAGGGGCGGGCAGAGAATGAAGCGTCCGGAGATGGGAAGTGTCATACAGGGGTCGGGGATGAGGAGCAGATCGAGGACCCTGGGAGTGAGGAGGGTCTTAGAAAGGGCAGCAGGTGAGGAGGCAGAGAGAGGTCTTGGAGGTGGGAGAGCCAGAGAAGGGTCTGGAGACCACAGGGGAAAAGCTAGAGGGTCTGGGGCCCTGGCAGAAGTGAAGCTAAGAGAGCTTGAAACCCGACCTTTAAAATTGTGTTTTCAGTCTATACCTGGCCGCCTAGACAGACGTAGCTAATTGGAGCCCTCTCTAGTGGTTGTGACTCTGGAACCCAGTAGGTAGGTGTGGCTGTTGTGTTCTACCCCAAACCTGCACTTCTGTCCTTATGCACCCTCATCCACTTGCCTACCTCCCTACTTTACCCTGTGATTCCCCTCGGATAATTCCACATTCAAGAATCTTCAACTCTTTTCTTTAATATCTTTGATCTGTTCCTTTCTTGGCAGGATTTTTGCAGAAGTCTCCACTTTTTAACTTCACCAACATGAACAAACACTGCAGTTGGTGTGTTCTGTTGAGCCCACTAACCTGCTTAAAAACGTTCATTGGTTACCATTGCCTGAAGAATTCAGTCCAAACACCTTAACCTGACAGTCAAGACCCTTTATAAACTAATTTTATGTACCCACCTACCTGGGTTGTTCAGGTTTCCCTGTTTCCTAGAAGGCCATCATTTGCTTTTTTATAAATATATATGCTGCTTTCACTGCTTAGAATATTCCTCTCCCTGTTCCCCATTCTCTGCTAACAGAACCACTCTTTCTTCAAGAACCTATTCAACTCTTACTTTGTTAAATTCCCTTAAACTGATTAAGTCGCCCCCCAAGCCCCAGCTCCCATAACTTCTCTTATGGTATTTGCCACATTCAATCATAATTGTGATTTTTTGTTTCTTCCTCTAGACTGTGAGCATCTCCAGGACAGCATCAGTGTCTCAGTCACCTCCATTTCCCCATTGCCCTGTTTAGAGCAGTAAACGCTTGATGTAAATTAAATTAGTAAATACTTGATGAATGTGTGAATAAAGACCATCCAGGGTAAGCTTTGCTGTACCAGGCTTGAAGACTGCCATTTCTGGTGGATTTCCAGGGGTGGGAGCTTTAGTCTTCTGCTGCCTGTCTGGGCTATCTGCTGGAAGCTGAGGCTGATTCATTGCCAATGGGAGTTTAAACCAGGGGTGGCAAATACATGAAATGTGTGCTGCCCCTGCCCCTGTCAGTGTCTCTGGCAGTCATGGACATTTGTTCATAGCACATAGTCACATGGTACTCAGAGCCCTCAACACAGCTACTCTAGGAAGCCACTTCCAGTTGATCGAAATTTGTTCCTTAAATGAAACCCGTTTGCTCTCTTTGGTTTAAGCACTTAAGTGTGAAGTCAGCCTGCTTTAAGCCATAGTTTGGACCATCAGCCATGTGGGCCTGACAGCCTTTGGGAGGTTCCAGTTTTTTGCCTTTGGAGTTCACAGACCAGTCTTGGCATTTCCCATGGAACTGAAGAACATCTTCTCTTCCCATCCTGCTATTAACTGAGTGGGCTTCTCATGTCCAGAATCCTACTACCCCAGGAGCCAACCTCTCAATTTTCCTGAGTAAAAGAATCCTCATTTTGATGACAGGTAGCACCTACCATGGCTTGGGTAATTGTACCCTTTTTAGGTCTTCCTGGATATTGGCAGGCACCTTTGAGACCTTTCAACTGACAGGTGGCAAAGTGACAGCCCATGCTGAGTGAAGTCCACCATCATGCTTCTTTAATCCTCGTGGTGTGTGAAACAGTTTTGAGTTCGTTGTCAACATTTAAGAATCCAGAGTTCTAGTTTCCTTTTGGAAAACTTGAAAGACCTGGAATACTCTGGAATTCTCCTGGGATTCCATAGTTAGCCACAGTCCCCACCTAGTCACTTCCCTCATTGACTCATGACATTGCTGGCCCCCTGTGACCATTTAAACTTGTAGTCATTGATTCTCGCTCCCCCCCCCCCCTTACTCTATTGCCATCATACCAATTGTGGAACCTGGGGAAACTATTTGGGTGGGTCAGACTAAGCTGCAGCCTAGATAATCAGCACAGGGGCTACATGACCTGTCCAAAGTCATACAGCTGATAAATGGCAGAGGTGGAGCTAGAACTCCATTCTGCTCACTCCTGCTTTGCTGTTCTTTCTACTCTCTCATACCATCTTCTTGGGAGTTTGGATGACTAGTAGACA